GATTCATGTACTTTTTGATTCAACAGATCCATTGCGATTCCCCCAACATACCACGCCCTGTCCCACGTCCTCCCTGTGTTACCTGTCTCCAGCCCTCCTTCTTGGCTAACCCTCTGAACATGGATTTTAGGTAGTGGGTTCCTTCACATAGGGGTGCGTCCACCTCAAAGGTAAAGACCACAGTTTCAGGGTTTCCACCAGTCTCTCTGACCAGTTATTTTCTTTTATGATTGTGAGCTGGTTTCACATATTCAGTACCTTCTAATGCAGCGGTTCTCCACCTGTGGGTCGCGACCCCTTTGGAAGTCGAACAGCCTTTTCACAGGGGTCGCCCGATTCATCACAGTAGCGAAATGACAGCGATGAAGTGGCAATGAAAATAATGTGATGGTTGGGGATCCCCACCACATGAGGAGCTGTATGAAAGGGTCGCGGCGTGGGGAAGGTTGCGAACCACGGCTCTAACGTGATCCTTTTCCGAGCAGTTGGTGGTGGCAGCCGGGAGCCATCTGGCTCTCCTGGTCTCCGGGTTGTGGGGACTGATGCTTGCGTGGTCCAGTCGTCCGCTGGACTCCTCGTTTCCATGGGTCTTTCCGTTTTCAGCACTCTTCTTTCCTCTGCACGGGGACAGACCAATCGTTTCACCTTGGATGGCGTCTCACAAGCTTCTAGACTCACCACAGTAGGATGTGGCACACTGTCTCTGTGACCTGTGCTATGCCGATTGACCTTGGGGTTCCCCAAGATGATCGTCCTGATCCCCAAAAACTCATCATCCTCAAGATGCTTGCTATGTCTAAGGAATGTCCATAACTCTGTCCCCTGTGTGTTCTACCACATTTGTGGGTATAGTTGCAGCAACATTAAATCCACGTACATACACACCCTCTGTCAGACCTGTATGTATTTGTGGTAGACGCCCACTCTCTCTCCCACACCTGTTCAGCCTGCATGTCTATCCGGGCATCTCGTAGACCACCACTCTGCAGGATTGTGTATATAGCAGTGTTTACCTCTGTTGTCTTAAACTTTTGTGAATCCCCACTGTCTTAAAATGGGGCAATTTTTACACATCTGAGATGACAAGCCAAGTTGGGGTTGGTTTTAATCTAGTCAAAACCAGTTGCTGTCAAGCCGCTTCTGAATCATGACACCCCCATGTGTCCGGAGTAGGGCTGTGAGCCGTGGGGTTTTCAGTGGGTAATTGAGGCACCTCCATCTGGCCCTGGCCCTTAAGCCTTCTGCTTAGCCGCTGAGCATGTTAACCGTTTGCACCGTGCAGGACTCCTCTGGGTGGCAGTGGTGAGGAACAGCACACCTAACTTACCAGAACGAGGGAAGAGTGACACAGATATGTTCCAGCCATGAACTTCCCAACAGAAAAATTGGGTAGAGAGCACTGAAAGGTGATTTCCTGGAACCTTCTGGAAGGAACAAGCGTCGTTGTGGCTAGGTGCTATTCAGTCAGTTCTGACTCACAGCTCCCCTTTGTACGACAGAACAAAGCAGCGTTTGATTCCGTGCCTGGTGGTGCCGTCGGGTAAACCTGGACTGCTCACGTCAAGGCTGGTGGTTCAAACCCGCCAGCTGCTCTTCGGGGGAAAGCCGAGGCCGTCTGCTGCTGTGTGGATTCACGGCCTGGGAAACCCTGTACAGGGTTCCACTGAGTCAGAATTGACTCGATGGCAGCGGGGTGATGGGCTGGACTGGTGCTGCCCTCACAATTGTTTCTGTTTGAGTCCATGAATGCAGTCCCGGTACCGATCCATCTCATAAGGCAGCAGTTCTCAACCTGTGCACAGGCGTCGCCCGATTCCTCACAGTGGCAAAATGACAGTGCTGGAGCAGCCACGAAGATCGTGTTATGGTTGGGGGTCCCACCACATGAGGACCTGTTTGAAAGGGTCGTGCGTGAGGAAGGCGGAGAACCGCTGCCCTGGGGGCCTTCCTCTTCTTCGCGGAGCCGCTACCTCACCAAGCAGGTGTCCTTCTCCAGGGACAGTCCCTCCTGATGCCACGCCCAAAGTATGCAAGAGAGAGTAGAGAGATGTCCAAATTACCCGCTTCTCCCTGTTCCCACCCTCCATCGTGGGGGGCTACAGAACAGGCCATCTGGATTCTTTCCCTCTCTTTCACAGGGACAAATAATTGAGGACAGGGGCATTTTGACCTCTCCCAAGGTCTAGGGCAGCGGTTCTCAACCTGTGGGTCGCGACCCCTTTGGGGAATTGAACGACCCTTCCACAGGGGTCGCCCGATTCATAACAGTAGCGAAAATGACAGTGATGAAGTAGCAACAACAATAATTGTATGGTTGGGGGGTCACCCCAACATGAGGAACTGTATGAAAGGGTCCCATCATTGTGAGGGTTGAGAACCACTGGTCCAGGGAAACCTCCCAGACCTGTTCCCTCTCTAGAAGCACTGAGAGAGGTCTGGGGGGAGGGGGGGGGGAGGGCCAGCAGCCCCTGGCTGACCGGCCAGCCCATGTTGCCTCGGGAGCTGAGTTTGTGTATGAAAAGGCCACTTTTCGAGGAGAAATGCCTCGGATACATTAAACCATCGGCTGTTCTTTGGAGAGCCATTATTAATGGGAAACAATAGATTAATAGTTTTAAAATGCTTGTTCAATAAGTAATTTTTATGGCTATGGATAGAGCCCATTAAACATTTCTGTGTTATTATAGAGAAGTTTTCAGCGTAAAATCGTAAAGTCAATAATCAGAGAATTAGTCGCAGCGGCCAGCCACAGGCCATTAGTTTTAGGCGCTGTCAGAGACACCTGTGGCTTCCGCGGGCGCAGTGCTCCTGCCAGGCGGCTGCGCCGGCAGTGCCAGGTGGGGACGGAAGGAGGAGGGTGCCGGCTGCCTCCCATAAACTTGAGGGGACAGCAAGCAGGTGCGAGCCGCGGGGTGCCAGGCAAATATTTACAGAGTGCAAACGTGAATGCCAAGTGAAACGATGCAGGTCAATTTGCACATCCAGACGGGACGGCTTATTTCCCTGGCGAGAGTCTGCCTCTGCCGGGGCTGGGGCTTGGCTAAAGATCCAGAGGGAGGCGGCCTGCTCCTTGCAGCCCCCAACAGAAATGTTCCCAGAGCCGCGTCTCCCAACAAACCCACGAGGAAGCGCCCGGCATTGGGAAAGGAAACCGCCAGCTATGAAAAACAGCTCAAGAGAAAAATAGCAGGAGACGAGCAGTCCAAGTTAATTACGGAAATGAGCAAAATTCCCAAGGCAGTTTGAAAAAACCCAAACGCCCCGTGATCCCTCCACCCGGAAGGAGCACTCTTGAGATGGACCCCCTTCAATAACTATCGGGTAAAGAGCCCGTGAGCAGGGGGCTTCAAAGGTCTGTGGAAACATGGAATGCAAAGATAACGAGATTTTCCCACAGATATGCCAGGCACCGAACTAGGCACCGAACAAAACAGATCAGTGCCCCGACCCTGTGGGGCTGACACGGTGAGAGCCGACTCATGGCGATATAGGACAGGGTGGAACTGCCCAGGTAAATTTCAAGACTGTCACTCTTTATGGGGGAAGACAGTCTCATCCCACCCCCAACCCCGCCCCCCCCTGCAGGAGTTGGCTAGTGGTTCTGAACCGCTGACCTTGTGGTTAGCAGTCCAAAGTGTCACCCACTATGCCATCAGGCTTCTGAGCAAATTAGTCGGTGGAGTCAAAGGAACAACCAGCTGCCATCGAGCTGACGCCAGTTCCTGACACCCTCCCATGGGTCGGAGTAGACCTGTGCTCCCCTGGACGGTCAAAGGCTAGTGTTTCAGGAGTAGATTGCCGGCGGCTTTCTGAGGTTTCTCTGAGTGCTTGACCATTCCTCCTTCTGGTTTAGAAGCATGCAGACTGTTTGCACCGTTCGGGAGGCAGGAAAGCCCAAACCAAACGCACGGCCATAGAACCGATGCTGACTCCTAGTGACCCCGTAGGACAGGGGAGAACTGCCCCTGTGGGCTTCCAAGACGGGATCCAAATCTCTTTTTTTGCTCAAGGTGGTATCTCTTTATGGGAGTAGAAAGCCCATCTTTCTGGGAGGCGGTAAACATTAAAAAACCAAGCACACGGCCATCGAGTCAGTGCTGACTCATTTCGACCCTATAGGACAGCATAGAGCTGCCGCTGTGAGCTTCGGAGACTATAAGTCTTTAGGGGTGTAAGAAAGTCCCAGCTTTCCTCTCTGGAGCCACTGGTGGTTTTGAACTGCTGACCTTGCGGATTGCAGGAAGTGGGACCTAAAAGGACAAGAAGAGAGTAGGATTGGAGCAGGAGGAGTCTCACTGAGGATGACATCGAGGAAGCAGAGCAGGGAGCGAGAAAGGAGTGTCCAGGTCAAGGGTGCTGCCTGTGTGAAGGTTGCGAGGCAGGAGCGAGCCTGCCTGCAGAGATGCAGCCAGGAACTCCCATGAGGCTGGAGCTTGAAGGGCGGGCAGGCGGGCAAGGGAAGTGAGAGGGGTGGCCAGGGAGCAGGGGGCAACTTGTGCGAGACCTTGAAGGGTTTTGACTTTTACACTGAGGAAGAACGGGGTGGGGGCCCAGACCGACTTTGTTTCTCACTGGACCCTGCCGGCCACCCGGTGGAGAGGAGATGGTGCATGTGTAGGAGGATGCTGGGAGACGGAAGACAAGGCAGGAACTCGGGGCACAGTGGGGGGGAGAAAGGACCAAACGCTGGACCTATTTTGAAGGTAGGACCACTACCTTGCCAGGTCTTCTCCTAGTACGACCAGGATAGTTTTTAACAACTCGTGCACCCACGCAAATATAGTGCACATGCGTATACCGTGCACAGGAAACAAATGCTCCCAGCGGGCTGTGTGGTTCAAAAACTCCATACAACGCTCGTGTTACCTGAGTGAAAATCTGGTATCGCCAACCTGCAGCAGGTAAGGGCAAGGCAGCCCTTTGGTTTCTCTCTAGGTGCCTGAGGGTCTCTGACTTCCCTTGAGGACTTCCCTTGCACCTCTTTCCTGTTCCAGGGCCCTGGAGGAGCGCCCCCCACCTGGATCCTCTTCTTGCTCAGTGTGGCTACTTCCTGCATCCCACCCCTGATGGAGACTTCCTCTTCCGAGCTCTGTACTCGGCCTGCTTTGTGCAGAAGGAGGTAAGCGCAGGGCACACCTTCTTATCAAGCGACTCGGGGCTGTCTTTGGGAATGCAAAGAGAGCTTCGCCTGGGCACCGATACCAAGTCAGGAGACGCGGCAGGCACTGTTGTTCCTCTGTAGAAACCTGTCCCGTGCCTGGCACTGAGCTGAGGGAGACCGGGAGACCCACTCTATGCCCTCACGGAGCTTACAGGCAAGGACACCAAGAGCTGTGCTCGCCCAGCTCAGATGCTGCCTCCTGCAGGCAGTCTTCCTGGTAGCGCACTAGCCCTCCTCTGCGATGCACCTGCTGCCGGGCACCTGCTGCCTCCTGCCTCCTGACTGAGGATGCTCCTGCTCCCAACGAGGCCAGGGCCTGGCATGCAGTAGGGGCTCAGGAAGGGCGCAATGAAGTGAGCGAATGGCACCGTGGAGTCGCATAGGCTGCGCTGCTGCAGAGCGGTGCAGCGGAAGCTTCTCGGCCCCCCACTTGCACAAACCCCTCCTGCGCCCCTGGGACTTCACCCAGATACCACCTGACAGTGGACAGCTGTTTGTTCCTTTGGGCATCAGGACTGCGTCTCCTTGGAAGGCTTTCTTATTCCCATTTTACAGAGGAGGCACGTGACGGAGCCAAAGGCACGGAACCTGTGCCATTCCTGGGCCTGGGGGCACCGTCAGGTTGAGCTCCTCTCAGTGCTGCAGAACTTGGTAAAACTTGCCAAGCCGTGTTGTGTATTTTGCACAGATGTTTCTTCTATTTCTTAAAGGAGTCCCTTTCTCCAAATTGCCTGGACTCCAGGCCCCACCCAACCTCAACCCAGGGAAGGCCCAGCCGAGGGGAGGGGTTTGGGAGCTGGAGTCTGAGGAGGGGGCCTAGGCCAGTCAGAGGAAAACAAGGGGAGCTGACGCTCCGGGGAGGGGGTGGGGAGGGGGCTGGTGCGAAGGCACCCCCATCAATCAAACCCATCCAGTCCCCCTCAAGTAGACTGCTCCAGGCAATCCCAGGTGTCAGAATAGAGCTGAGCCCCACCGGGTCTCCAATGGCTGGTTCTTTGAAAGTAGATTCCCAGGCCTTTCTTCCGGGGCACTTGGGTGAACTTGAACCCCAACCTTTCGGGTGGCAGCTGAGCGATTACCTGCTTGCACACCCCGGGTCAAACAACACTACCGAGCTAGCTTTTTTTCCCTTCTCGCCTCCGTTTACCCCACGCTCCATTTCTTCTTTCCCTGCTTATCCAAGCTCGGAGCGCCTCCTGAGTGGGGTTTTGGCCAGGAGCGGGGGGAGGGGGGGGGCGAGTGAAAGGCAGAATTCTATCCCTGGTGGCTGTGTGGATTCAAGGTCGGACTGCTAACTTTGAGGTCCCACCAGTCACTCCGTGGGAGAAAGAGGAGGCTGTCTGCTCCTGTCAAGTATGGCAACCCCCGAAACCCAAAGGAGCAGCTGGCTGTGTCCCCCGGAGCCTCTAGGAGCTGGAACCCACGTGATAGCAGAGGATGCTGCCCCTCCACTTTATCTTCCTCCTGGCCACCACACGCCCTTCACACAGCCCCCACTTCAGGCCCCCACCAGGAGTGAGGTTGGCTCCACGTCCCTTGTGGGGCTTGCTGTTTCGACAGCTTTGAAGCCCCCAGCAAGCCTGAAATCGAGTCTCAAAGAAGCCCGGCCTGGTCTTCATCAAGCGCAGTCCCAGGAGTGGTTGCATGCCACCTGCCTTTGGCTTGGTCCCCTCCTCTGAGCCTCAATGGTCTCACCTGTAAAATGGGAATAAGAAGCCTACCCACAAGGTCATCATGAGGGTTGAAGGCGCCAATGTGTATCAACCGGCAAGTGATGTTTAGGCGAATTTCTTGTTCAGGCGTGTGAGCTTCCCGACATCTATGAATGGCCCAGTCCCAAGGGTGCTTCCCTAGTGGGGGCTGAACTGCTGCCGAAGCCCAGATTCGGGCCCCGGCTTCTGCGGCCTTCCTGGCCTTGGGCCCTCTTCCAGGAGGCCTGCCCAGTGTCTAGGCAGTAACTGTTCATCACTTTTTCTGTGATTAATCACTGACCTATAATTTCAGCCTATTAACTGTATTTCCCTCTTTCATTTGCACACGTGAATTTCGCCCTATTTCTAGAAAGCAAATTATAGGTTGGAAATCAGAGTCTTTCAGAAAGGGGTGAGCGGGCCGGAGCGGAGTGATGGCTATATCATGGAGTGTCCAGTGAGAACGCCAAAGCTGGACCAAGTGTACGTCCGCTGCGGACCTGAGTTCATCCAGGTAAAGGGTTCGGAGGTCGGCAGAGGACATTCCAGGCTGGGCTTGCCACCCCTGAGCCAGGAGATGGCCCCGGCCAGGAGGGGCAGGCGGCATCGGTTTAGCAGGCCTCCTCGGCCCTCGTGGGTACCACTTCGACTTCACCCAGGTGTCTCCGTCCCCCCTCAAGACCAGGTTTGTAGGGGAGGAAGGGCCAGGGCCAGGAGAGGGGTGTCTGAGCTGGAAGTGAGAAGGGATGGTTAGAGCAGGGAGGAAAGAGCTCTGATTTTGTTTTCAACCTTTTTGGGCTGGAATTCATAGAGAGATGAAGTTCCCATTCAATAATTCATGCTGCGTTCCCCTGACATAGGTCACACTCACATCAGTGTAACAGCGCTGGGTTTCCATCTCTCCGCCCCCACTGCTGCCTTCTGAGTTTGATTTTGGGGCAAATGCTGGCCCTTTAGGTCGCATGTGGTTGACTGTGGGCAACTGTGCTTGATGCCCCATTGCAGCTCATGCAGAAAGGCAAAACTTTGCGGTAACAGGCCAGTGAGCTCTTTGAGTTTACATGCCACCGGGTGCCGGGCACTATGGTATTCGGCTCACTGCTCTTCCTCAGCCTCATCCATCTTCCCTGGCCGTTCTAAACCACTGCTGTTGTCAGCGGTGACCACCGGGTTGCTCCTGCCCTCCGGCAACCCCATGGGTTAGAGAGGCAGAGCTGCGCCATGGGGTTTCTTGGCCGTAATCTCAATGGAAGCAGATCTCTAGAACTTTCTTCCCATGCGGTACTGGGTGGGCTAGTAGCAGAGAAGCAAACTGAGCCCAGAGTTCAGGGAGCTTGCCCCAGGTGTCCCAGCTGGTGGTGATAGAGGGGACCCTGCAGAGGGTAGGGCTGTGGGAAGCGGGGGCAACCATGCCCCAACCTCCCCCACCCCCACCAATACCATGGGCATCATCACTCCCCTCCAACCTCACCTGGCTCAATTTTCCAACTTTGCAAAGAAATGAGGAACCCATAATTACATGTGAAGTCCCCCAATTTAAAAAAATCGACTTAAATCTTGTGAAACATGACCTGGCTCAAACAAAACGTGACTGGCTGGCCTTGATTTGAGTGACACCAGTTTGCAACTTTTGCCGGAGATTGTGGGGAAGGTGGGACTAGGGAAGGCAAAGGGAGCGGGGCGGGGAAGGGAGGGGAAAAAGGAAGGGAAGAAGGAGCTTAGAATAAAAAAGCTATGAAGGCCAATCACGCAACAAGCATTTAGTAAGCACCTGCTCTATGAGCCCTGGTCGAGTAGTGGTTACAACTTGGGTGGCTAACTCCAAGGTCAGCAGTTCAAAACAACCAGCTGCTTTTTGGGAGAATGATGGGGCTTTCCACTCTTGGAAAGAGTTACAGGCTTGGAAACCCATAGGGGCAGTTCTACCCTGTCCTAGAGGCTCACGGTCGAGTCAGTGCTGACCAGATGGCAGGGAGTTTGGTTTTTTATGGCCGGCCATGAGAAAAGGACATTGCCGGGTGAGGTGAGGGCCAGAGGAAGAGGTGAACCCTCCCAGAGATGGACAGACATGGGGGCTGAACAACGGGCTTAGGCGGGTGAACAGATGCACGAGGGCACCAGGACCAGGCAACGTTTTGTTCTGTAGCCAGAGCCAGCTGGCTGGTAGGTATCTGACCAGAGCAGAGCTAGTTCAGTGGTAGAGTCCTTGCCTACCCCTATCTCACCCCCGACCCCCACAGGGTTCAATTCACAGCCACCACCCTTAAGATGATAAAAACAAGCGGCTTCCACATTAACTAGGAAGAAAGGCCTGGAAATCTCCAGCCCACGCAAACCACGGGCAACCCAACCCAACACCCCAGGCAGTTTCTTTAGGTTGTGCCCGTGGCTGCCAGGAGTCTGGGGCAGCTCTGCCACAGCTCACAACACCGACCTTTCAGGCACCATGGTCTGCACCAATAGGACACATTTGAATACGACAGTCTCTTGCTCCCGCGGGGAACCCTTATAGTCCAATTGTCATCTGTTCTGAATTCCAAACGTGTGTGTAAAGGTGGGGAAGGAGCCATCTGCTTCCTGAAACTCATTTCTCTCCAATCTTACGGGGCCAGTGCACAGAGCTCGCTCGGCCCCCGTGCTTTCTCAGTGGCACAGAGTAGCCATGCCCACCCTGGTGTTGCTTCTCCAGGGTCTCACCCCAGTCCCACCAGGACCTGCCTTGGCATCGCAGGGCTGGTCATTCCCCGCTCCGCACTGGGCCTGTAATTCTGGGAGCTGCCACCAGGGGGCCAATGTTCCCGAGTCCGGCGACTCCGGGCCAGGAGGTTGAGGACAGCGGGACCCGCTCTGCTCCCAGGCGCCCCAACTCCCGAATCCCCATCACCCTTCACCAACCGGGGGCCTCTGAGCTCGGGGCGGACCCGCTTCCCACAGCGAAGATGCGGCTCTCGACAGAAGCCGCGTCTCCCTGCCCCGTTCCCGTCACCCCTCCCACCCCCCCAAACCTCATCGAATTGACTGATTCATTCCTGGTGACTGGCGCAGCCGCCGCTTCCGTGGCTGCACCTTGAACTTGCATTAAGTTTTAATTAAAGTCATTTCCCCGGCCTTGCCCTTGGCTAAATGCAGCTGTGGGCACAGGGCACAGATATTTAATACTCTGCCTCTCCCCGCTGATGGCGCAGGGTGCCCAAGGGTGTACCCGAGTCGTGCCCCGCACGCAGCCATCCGCAAGCTCGCTTAAGTGTGCCCACAGGCCCCGAGCGGGGAGGCCGGCAATAACTATTCATTGCCCTGGGTTAAGTGTGCCCAGGGGCACCCGCAAACTCAATGCGGTGATTAGCGATTGCTCCCAGAGCAGGCGGCCCGAGGTCCTGCCGAATGTCCGCGGGCCCTAAATATAGCCTCGCGCCTGGGCGCCGCCTGAAAGAGCTCCGGGTGCGGGTGCGGGTGCGGGGGTGGGGGTGGGGGTGGCGCGCTGCAGTGGACCCACCTGGGACTCAGGAACAGAGGGATAAGAATCTGAGGCTGGAAAGGGGACAACGTGCTGCATCATATCCACCCCATCCCTAAACCGCACGCAGCATGTGCCCCCATCCTGTCCCAAGTGAATGGAGGTGGTCAGTTGTGAGGACCCGCAGGCCCAAGGGCTCCCTCCGCTGCGAAGGTGGGGGGTCGATCTTCCATGAGGAGGCAGCAGGGGCAGGGAAGAGCTGGGGTCAGAGAGGGAGGTGCCATTTGGCCAGTCCAATGGGAGCACCTCTCAGCCCGCGTGGGACATGGGGCGTGTCTAGGATCTTTTCCTCTCTGGCCTCAGTTTCCCCTCTCCTACGCCGATGGGGAGGCTGGCGGTCTCTGAGGGGCTCTCTGCTGGTCTGTGACTCTCCTTGTGCCTCAGGCTGCTTGCCCAGAGGGGAGTCTGGGGGAAGCATAATAGAGAGGAGGGATCCACTTGCTGGAAGCCTCCTCTGTGCAGCAGCCCTGCAGCGCTCTGGCACAGGAGGGTGACCAGCTGGCCCTGTGTGCCCCGGACTGCCCTGGTTTTGAGCCCCTTGGGTGGTGCAAACGGTTATGGTCTTGACTGCCGACTGAGGGCTTGGAGGTTGGAATTCACCCCCACCGGGAGCATGGAAGAAAGGCCTGGTGATGGGCTTCCAGCCATTCGAAACCTGTGGGTCCTCTCTGCACACACATGGGGTCGCCAGGGGAGTTTTCTTAGCAGTGAGACCCCCATATTCAGGGACACCTCTCAGCCTCAGACACACTGGGTCTGTTGGTCATCCCGTGACCTCCTTTTGATACCCCCCCACCCCCCCACCGTGCATGCTTGGTCAAGAACAGAAAGGAGCAAGGCGAGGAAGACATGGGTGGGCTAGAAACAAAAGCAAGATGCACAAAGGGCCCGGGGAAGCCACCTTAGTGGCAAGTGGGCCCCAGGGGCATCCCCACCGCAGGCTGCACCAGCTGTACCCAGGACCCCAGCTGCCCCCTTGGCCAGGCCCAGGGTGGCAGCTGAGCCGGTGACATTTCCCTGGGACTGTTGACACTCGAGTCCCAGAACATAAATGATTTTCTTGTCTTAATGAGTAAACAGCCCGGCTGGCACCTCTCCCCCGCCAGCCTCCTGCTGGGGTAATGGCCAGCTCGCCAGCTTCAGCAGAAGTGTTGACTCACCTTTGCCGCCTGTTTGCCAGGGAGATGCTGCCTCCTCTTTGTTCTGCAGGTTTCCCGGCCGCTGCCCCTGGGAAGCTCCAGTGGACAGGTAGGTGGGGCAGGAGAATTCTCCAAGAAGGTTGGTGGCCTGTTCTCTGCAGGCTCGGGGGCGCTCCCTGTGGAGAGTGTTGGTGGACGAGGCCCACTCTTCCAGGCTGGTGGCTTGGCAGTCATCATGTGACACTGCCAGCACCTTTCCGGGAGAGCTCTGAGGCCCACTGAGAGGAACCCCAAGAGGAGAGGACAGTGCTGCCCACACTGGCTCTCTGCCCGCATCTCTTGAGACGGAGAGCTCGCTCGTAGGCAAGGCGGCTCCTTCCATACTGAACAGCTGTTCCTGGAACTCTAGAAAGCTGGCCCTAGGAGACCTGGTAGTATAGTGGGTTACCATTGCCATGCTAACTGCAAGGTCGGTGGTTCAAAACCACCTGCCATTCCACAAGAAAAAGGTGAAGTGTTTCTTTTAATCCTGTAAAGAGTTGTTACAGGCTCAGAAACCCACCAGGGCAGCTCTATCTGTCCGATAGGGTCACTAGGAGCTGACATGGACTCGGTGGCAGTGAGTGAGCGAGTGAGCTGACCCCAGCGGGGCTGTGGCTCAAGGACTCCCAGAAGGAGCCCACCCCTTCCCTGCTTCACTTCTCTGTGGGTACTCTCCTCCCAACTCCCTCCAGCCAGTCCTCCCTGCCCTTCCCCCCATCCAGGCACCTACCTGTATTTGAGGCTCTGATGGCCGCTGGCTGACTGTTCTTATCAGGGGCTGATAGGTCGGCTACAAGGAACAGACCACTACCCAGTCCTGCGTCACCCTCACAACGGCCCCTTAACCCGAGGCCAGGACTTCATCGGAGTCTGACCTGGGTCTGGGCCTGGGGAGGCTGCAGGGCATTGCTGTGGGGGCCACCGTTTACTCGTTCCTTCTGCCACATTGCACACCTACTGCACATACACGCCAAGCCCTCCTGCAAGAGGTCCGCTCCCTCAAAGGACAAGGCATGGAGGCATCCAGTTTGGCTGTCCCCCTCAGTCCTACCCATCTCCCGATGGCCCTTTCACTTTGCTGAGTGTCCTCTCAAGGGTCTCTGCTCCCAGCCCCCACATTGGTGCACCCCCGGGGTTCTCGGTGCTTTGCTTCTCCAGGGCCCGTGGCTGCTGTCCCTTCGAGGGGAGCTGGTGGCATCCCTGGAGGACGCCAGCCTGATAGGACTGGATGTGGACACCAATGCCACCACCATCACCGTCCAGAGCCCGAGGTCAGAGCTCCTTCAGAGACGGGAGGTCAGTGTGGGCAGCTGGCCCTGCTGGGGGAGGCACTCCAAGTTCGAGCTCCCTCCCCTCCCGGCCCCGACACTGGGGGGAGCAGGAGCGCGGCCCCAAAGAGCCCCTTGCTGCCCCTCCGGCACCAACTCAAATGTCCACCTGTGAAGCTGGACAGATTTAGGCAGGCGGCTTCGAAAATTGGGCCCCATTAGTGTAAAGTGCTCCGCTCGGCAGATGGGGGGGCTCCTGCAATCATGTATTCCGTGCGTTCTGATCAGGGTGGCAGGAGCGTAATTACCATCTCCTTAAATAGCCCAAAGTTGCCGTGTAAGAGAAGACGGCTCACATGACATTTGCTCTGAGCGCTCTTCCTGCTAAAAATATCCCAGCAAAATAATATTTCCTGGTTGCAGCGGAGCAGCGGTCCCTGGCCTGGGCTCTGAAACACCCCCCACCCCCCCACCCCCCGGGTTGGGGTAGGGCAATCCTGGGGGCTGGTCCGAAGGTGGGAAGAGGGTGGGCTCTGCAAAGCGGGGTTTCGCAGAGGAAGCAGCAGGGTTAGAGGTCACAGGGGACGCTGTGCCCCCGGCAGGTGCTGAACACCTCCACGGAGCTGCTGCTGCTCTGGCTGGTCGGTGGCCACTCGGCCTATTCTTTAGAAGCCACCTGCCCACCGGGTAAGGCCCAGGAGCGCCCCTAGGGTCCACTTTTGCCAGCTCCATCACTCGTTCGCCTGCTTCTCCTCCTCCCCATGGGCAGCGCATTCTCCTGGGTTCCATCCCACCTCTCCTTCTCGTGACCCCGTGACCCCGGCACCTGTGAAATGCCTGCGACAAGGAAGGCATGATCGTGCTGCGAGGCTGACGGTGCGGCCGCGAGAGGGTGGGATACGGAGCAGGGATGAAAGTCGAAGCATCCACTCAACCTGGTCTCCAAGCTCCCAGCACATCCCAAGATGGGATCCTGGGGGTCTGAGAACCTTGGGGATGCTCTACAACAGCAGGGGGGTGGGGTGGGGCCTGCCACCTTCAGCAGGGCCCTGGGCTCAAGCAGCCGAGCCCCGTTTTTCCAGTCCAGGATAGCGTCATTACCCCGGGACCTGGAAGACCACTTCCTACCTCCAGGGAATTTTGATTCTAAAGAACTCCATGCAAAATTCGGTGGAGACAAGGCTGCATCCTGTGTGGGCAGCCTCACATTTGCAGAGAATGTGATTATGAAATGAGTTTCACAGGCAAGGCCCTGGTGAGTTTGGCTTTGGGAACGGCCTCGCCAGGCCCCCAGACATCCCTCTGCCTATCCGTGATGTCCGAAATCCCTGTATTTGGAGACCGATGCTCTCATTTAGCAACTGCAGAGCTGGCTCAAAATACCTCTTGAGAGAGCTGACACAACGGAATTCTTGCTAAAGGGTAAACAACTGATCAGAGCTGTATTTCTTAAAAGCCACTTGAGTCTTGGAGGGGGCACCTGGCTAGGTCACCGAGGCTGAGGATGGTCTTAGCTGAGCTTTTTCGGCAGCTTCCGGGGCAGCACCGGTCCCAGCATCGTGGGCTTCCTTAGCAGCCTTTGCACACAGCAGGGTCACCTGGTGGGAGGGCTTTTCCCTCTTCTCTGTCAGTGCACTCAAATCCCCCCCCACCTGTGCAGGCAGTGAGGCCAGGGCACCCCAGGTGGGGGCCCGACTAAAGCCCCGTACAAATCCTTGGGAAGTGTGTCATTTTGGTGCCTGTGTCCTTGCACACTCCAGTGTCATCCCAGCCCCAACTAGACGTCTTCGTTCACATCCCCAAGCAGAGACTGGGTCTGGTCAAGAGGGGCCCCTACATCGAGGAAAGCCTGACCCTACGGTCCCTCCGAGTCCTCCAGTCCAGCACCTTCAGAGTCACAGAGAGCCCAGACTTGGTGGTGGCCAGCATCCCAGCGGCTGGGCTGCTCCAGGTCCAGGTCAGTGTCCTGCCCCCTCCTGGGGCCCCTTCTCCTTTGGGCGACTGACCACACGGGGCGTCAGAAACAGGGAGAGGAGCAGCTCTTCGGGCTGGCTGAACACAGACACGGTCTTACATGCCTCAGAGGCTGGGCACCCTTGTCAAGGCGGCATGTTTGCTGGGCACAGAATGCACCCTGTCACCCATAATTAATTCCTCCTGGCCCCACAGCCATGCCAGGAGGACCAAGGAGCTCCAGGAACCCAAGCTTTCTCCAGGGTCGACCTGAGCCTGGTATTTGCGGAGGCAGCCACCCCAGCCCTCTGGACAGCGGAGAATTTCTTCCAGTGCGTGGGTAAGGGAAGTGCCAAGGGTGAGGGGGGCCTGCTTTGAAGGGGTACATGTGGCCTGCCCCCACCCCCTTCCTCGGCCCTGTGGTTCTTTTCTCCCGTGATAAGGCTCCCCACACCCAACCAAGGGAACAATGCATCAGACCCACTGGGTGGAACTGGGGTGACACGGGAGCACAAGTGGGGACCTGGGCAGGGCACACCCTGGCAGTTGCAGGACCTCAGCGATTTCCTGATTGGTTTCATCTGCTCCGTGGGCTTCGAAGCGTGCCTGGCACCAGATGAGGGAGTTCTGCTGGGGTCTGCCCGGCGACCCCGGTGTGGTCTCAGCTCTCCAGGTCTCTGACCGGAGACTGCCACCTGCTGCGGTTGAATCGCAGCTTGAGAGGTGCCATCTGCTACGTGTGGCGTGTGTCCTCGGCGCGAAGACGCTGGGTCTTGACGGGCTGGGGGGCGCGGGGTGTCCTCCGTGCAAGCCCGGCTCCCAGACGGGCTGCTGTTCGCACAGGCGGAACCACCAGGAGCAAAGCCCATTGAAATACAGCGCAAGGAAATGCACATAATTCACAAATGCTGTTGATCACTTTCATCTTACCCTTCCTAGCTGTCCTCAATGGAAGACAGACGCGACGGAGATCTAACTCAGATGTTAAGAGAGCCAGAATGCCCGTTACCAGGATGTGATGTTTCGGTTTTCAAGATTAAAAGGGGGGACTGCCCACATCTAGTCCCAAATTCAGAATGAGAAACAAAGGGAAGGCAGGGGCCCAGGAGAGGGTGGTGAGTGCAGACACTGGGCTACAAAATGCCAATGTTTTCTTGAGAGTTTCTTACACATTTTGGCTGTCTTTTGTGTTGTTGTTGTTGTTGTTTCAAAGTTCCTGCCCCATGACATTGCTTTTGGAAAAGGAAGGTGGGGGGAGGAGGGGCGCCGCCGCTAGAATCTTATCCAAGGAAAACTCATGAAATACTTACTGGCGAGAGGCCCCTGGGGCGGGGGCAGAGGCCATGGGAAGTGGTCCTTATTCACAAGCGTCCAGTCTGGAAGGGGAGATAAGAGACTGCTGAGGACTGAGGTGGAAGGCAGGCAGCCTTGGGGGAGATGCCCGGGAGCCCATGATCTTTTGTTCTGGGCTTTGAAGAGACAGTAGGTGCCGGGTAGAGAGATAGTGAATAAAACACAAAAATAGACCAGCTACTGCCATAAAAAAATATTTTAAGAAGATTTTTTTTTGATGTCCTCTCTGGAGAGATTTAGATCAGGAAAGAAGGTTCTCTCCCCCATTTTATTAATTTAATATCAGCACCACAATGAGTCTCTCCCCATCCCAGGCTCCCAGCGCACCTTCCCAACCCCTACAACTTTCCAGTCTTATTATAGTTCCTGGTGCAAAGACTCGATTCTTTCTCTTGTCTGAGATCCGCTCGCCGTCGGGGGCTGGGTCTCACTCTGCCTCTCATCCTTGCCGGGCCGTACCTTTCCTTAAGTGCTCGTTTGACTGAAAAGTCACTAGGAGTCTTAAAGAAAAAATGTTTCAGGTAAAGAACAGTCTCTGGGTAAACATACAGCTAGTAAGTTGGCCTAGTAAGATGCTGGGATTGCCTGAGAGAACTGTGGTAGCAGATTTTTTCCACAGGTTCCTTTTACTACCCGCTGCCCCTGCATCCCCCCTCCTCCTCCCCGGTGGTGGTGGGGTCCCAGAAACCTGGCTAGAGCCTTCAGGACAAATTCTCCCTTTGAAAGCTCATGCGTGTTCAGAACAGAGGAGGAAGTGGCATGTTCAGCCAGGAGCAGAGGCACGGAGGGGTTGGCTTCTCTGGGGAGCCCTTGGGCGGCCCCAACAATGGGCACGCTCACTGAGAGGCAAAAGTTGGGCGAGGTGCCTCAGAAGAAAGACCTGGTGATCTGCGTCTGACAAATTCACCCTCGAAACTGTGGGCGTGCAGTCTGACTCTGACATACGGGGTGCGGGGGTGTGCGCCGTGAGTCAGACTGAGCCCTGCAACAGCTGGTGCTGGGGGAGCTGTGAACCAACCCAGTGTCCTCCGGGCCATTCCGGCTCTCAGTGGCCCTAGAGGGCAGAGGAGAACTGCCCTGTTGTGTCTCCAAAGTAGCAGATCTCCATGGAAGCAGACTGGCACAATGTTTGTCTGGGTAGCGGGGGTGGATTCAGAACACCGACCTTTGACTGGCCTAACCTTGGTGCCACCAGGGCTCCTTTTAGAAGCTTGCAGATCCTGGAAGGCGAGCAGCAATGTCTTTCCA